GATAGATAGATAGATAGATAGATAGATAGATAGATAGATAGATAGATAGATAGATAGATAGATAGATAGATGATAGGTAGATAGATAGATAGATAGATAGATAGATTGATTGATTGATAGAAAGATGATAGGTCGATAGATGTGTGTGAGAGAGGAGAGAGAGAGAGATTGTGTGTGAGAGAGGGGGAGGATGGATAGATAGGACGGGGGTGTATGTGTGTGTGTGTTTGTGTATGAGAGAGAGATTCAACCTCCCATCTTTGCCCCACCCCAAACATGTCCCTTTGATCTCCTGAAGAACATCTCCAACGTTCATGACATCCAGGAACCGACCGAGATTGTTGAACTTGAAAAGCAGGATAAGAATCTTGAATCCTCTGGCCAACAGAATGTTGTGTTGCATTGTGTTGAAGTAGGAAATACAACACTATCGGGCATTAGGCAACGAGCGAACAATGGATCTTCTTGTTCTTTCTGGGTTTTTTTGGGGGGTGGGGGTGGTCATAAATAAACATTTTTCACTGCCACTGGGATTGTGTAACCAAGCGTCTCCGAGTTCTCGGTGGTCCCTGAAGGAGATTCAACCAGTCTAACAACCGGTTCGGCGAGCGGATGCGCCTCGCACAGCGTTTGAGCATCCCCCATTTTTCAGCTCATAATTTAATTGGAGTAACTGCCGGAATCCTGACACTTACCTTCTTCTGCTGAGGCACACGAATCAGCTGGGCTGCGAAACAAGGAAATATAGCAGACTAGGGCAGGGGACAACTAATCGCCAGAACAACCGGTTTGCTTTAACCGTTACGAACCGGCTGAATCCCACTCATTTAAACTTCTGGAGAAGATTGGAGAAGACTTGACGCCCAAGCAGAGGGAGTCCAGGGCTGCTTCCTTGGGGTGGGAGCTTTTAGAATTCAACCCTCCTCCCGATCTTCTTGAAGCCCCCAGAGGTCCTACATCCGGTCCTCTCCAGTTTCTCTCCTTCTTCTGTCCCTATCCCACCGCATCAGCACTTTGGAATAAACTATGCAGAGATCTTCACCTTGCATTAAATATATGCTGAGCACATCTATTCTGTAGTCAAGAGATTTCTAGACCGCCGTTGACAGATCAGAGATGTTGGGATGGATGGCTTTGCTAGCCAAGTCCGTTCTCGTTGGATAGGTCTTCTTCTCTGGATCATCGCCCAACTCTTGTTTTTATGGCGGTCTGCTCACATTGCAGGACCCCATTTCTGTGCTGCAGGAGACTCCTGGTGTCCTTGCACATTCCGGAAAGAACAGCTTTGTTAGCTTGGATCTGGTGGGAGGAGAACATCTGGGACTCTTGGCCCCTGGAAACATCTGGAGAACGTGCGGAAGGACCTGGGCTTGCTTCTCACACCTCACTTGTCCCTTTTCTTGCCTTCTCCTCTCTTCCGTAGGTTCAGATCCAGAACAAGAAAATTGACTTTTCGAAGGTGTCTTCCAAGTGCGGTTCCAAGACCAACATCAAGCATAAGCCAGGTGAGAAGCAGAAGTTGGTGGCCACCAAGGGAGGTGTGGGGCTACTTCAGGGGTCACCAATCTTTTGGACCTCAGCGACCACCAAATTCATAATTTTAAACCCCACAGACCACTAATATGGATGATGGGACCTTTGGTGAGAATTACGTTCCCGTTTTCTTTCAGGTGGAGGAGATGTTAAAATAGAACATCAGAAGTTGAACTTCAAGGGGAAAGCCCAAGCGAAGGTGGGCTCCCTGGACAACATCAGGCACGTGCCAGCCGGAGGCACTGTGAAGGTACGTTTGAAGCCTACCCTCGTTGAGGTTCCTCACCATGGATGAACCAAGAGGTTCTTAGTGGCCCGTTGAAGAATCGAATCTCTGGAACCCACTAGGTGGAAACTGCCCTGAGGCCTTGCTAAATATGGTGGGCCTTTGGGGGTGCTGGGTCCGTAAGAGCAACAAAGCCGGGGGAACCGAGGAGGAAGATCTCATGTTGAAGTTCTCCCACCTCCTCGGCTCACCTCCATCCTTCCTCTGGGTAGCCGTGAGGTGAACTGAGAGAAGGGGTTCCACATGGTCCAGCTCCCCTTCGCACGTCGTCATCCCTGACGATCCCCGTTCTACCTCTCCACCAGAGAAGGGACGACTCCGCAACATGTCCCAAAGAGGTAGTCCTTGACTTACAACCGTGTGTTTAACAACCGTCCCAAATGTGCTTTTTTTCATTTTTCAAGGGGCAAACTGCTGTAGTCACCTGATCGCAAGTGGTGGGCGGCTTGGTCGCCAAATCCATTTTCTGTTGGCAACGCTAAAAAGACCATAGAAATATTTTATGAGTTGACATTCTACTCCCAGTTGTAGCTGTAAGTCAAGGATTACTTTAAGGTTGTCTTCGATCCTTGATGACTGCTACAAAGACCAGCCAGGTTCCTCGGCATCAGAGAGTGTTAACATCTCTGAAAATCCCCCTTGCGGGCGTCTCGACAACTGGAGAGTTGCACCCTGGAGTAGCTTTAACTCATCTTGTGTGCCTGTCTTGAGCTGCCTACCACAGAGAGATCAGTGAAAATTAGGAGGGGGGCTTCCTTCTCAACAATCACCTATGTCTGTCATCCCTCCACCACTGTTCCCCACATGCCACCGTGTTCTCACGTCTTCACTTCACAGCCAACCCTGCAGAAAAGCAGAATATTTGGGCTGGAATGCAGGTCAGAGGAAGTGAGGAGTTGAGCAGCAGAGACGAGCTTGGACGAGATTAAAGCAAAAGGGATCAGTCTCGCCCCAGAGGAAATGATCATCTGCTCGGAAGAGTCGTGCTCGAAACCTCTCTGTCTAGGACAGGGGTCGGCAACCTGCGGTTCTGGAGCCGCATGTGGCTCTTTCCTCCCTGTGCTGAGGCTCCCTGTTGCCGGTCGGCTCCACAATTTGATAGGGCTTTCGGTTAGGACAGGTAGAGGAAAAAAGGACGCCATGCTAGGAGGAGACTCTATGGTGGGGGAACTGCCATAGAGTCTGGTCGGCTCCAGATATGAACCGGGGGGGGGGGGGGGGGGGTTCGGTTAGGACCTTTTGTGGCTCTTTTAGTGTTTACGGTTGCTGAGCCCTGGTCTAGGACAACTAACCTCAGCCAACTTGGTGTGAGCCATCTCGCTGGGGCAACCTGCCGCAGCCATCACGCCACGTCCAACTCACGCCAGGACAATTCCACGCGAGATAACCTGATGAAATACTCTCTGCCTCTCCGTTTCCTCAGCATTCTTTCAGTTTTTGTCCATGGACAAAATGTCAAAGAAAGAGTGGACGGGTAACAACCCTGCGGCGTGCGTTCTTGAGGCGAGGTGACCCAGGAGAGATGGCCATGGGCAAAATAGCCACAGTGGGTTTGCTGTGGCGAGGAGTCGTCTCCCTTCCACTCTCGGTGTGTTCCCTCCAGAGTATAAGGCAGGACGCTTTTACCTCCCAGCTGTCGTCCCGTGCATTCCATCCCCTTCCCTCTTGTGTAGTGACCCCTCATTGTTCCCCCCCACCCCCCCTGCTTCCTTTTAGACTGAGGAGGGCAAGGAGGCAGCCCCGGAGAACGAAGCGCCCCCATTGGGCAGCAGTACCCCGCAGGAGAATGGCGCAGGGGCTGTTGCGCCGTCACAGGGCAAAGGTGATCAAAGCTTCAATGACAGTGAAATCGAAGAGACAAGTAAGTGCCCTGGGAAACTGGCACTGAATTCATTGTTTTCAGGGCTTTGGAGGGGGAGGGAGGGAATTAAACCCTGAATGGTTGCTTGCAGGTGTTGTTGTCTTCTGCTAATGTCATTAATGCAATCAATTGCCTTTTATTTTCCAGGCCTTTAATGCTGACATTCTGGTGTCTCCTTCCGTCCCTTTTCTCTTCCCCCTCTCCTTTTTCCTCCCCCCCCCTCCCCCCCAATGTGTCGCTGCAGATTGAATCCCACAAGTTGACCTTCCGTGAGAACGCCAAGGCACGCACGGACCACGGGGCAGATTTTGCGGCCTGCACCGGCAGCCCCACCTCCTCCTCCCCACCACTGAGCACCTCTGTCAGCGAGAGCCTGGGCGCCATCACCACCGCCGCCATGTCCTCCTTGCCCCCGCGGCTGCCCTGGCAGGCTCCCCTCGCGGAAGAGACTTCTGCTGCCCTCTCTTGGCCAGGCTTGTGACTCACTTTCCTGCCCTGTTTCCTACCCCAGACCCCAAATATCCCCCCAGAATCTCAGCTTGCCTCCCTTAATCTGTCACCGCCCACCTGCTCGGACTTCGGTGGGGCTCCCAGTTAAATAGTTTTCCAGTTGAACCTTCTTTTACGCTATTCCTGGACTCATTGGGATGGGATGACCTTCTGGACAGGGAGTCCTGCTCACCTCAGGCCTCCCCAAGCTCATTTCAAATTCTTGATTATTTGAATGCCGGGATCAAAGTGCAAATTACGAATTGAGCACACAAATATTGGATTCTTCTCAGTGAGCCGCGTGGAAAACCCAGCTCAAGACAACAAGAAAGAGGTTCAAAGTCTGATGAGAGTTAAGGGGGGCAAGCTTTCTTCCCTTCTCTTTCCAATTTTCTCCCATCCCATGGGTCTCCTCTGCACCCCGTTTAGCGCTCTCACGTATAATGTCATGCTCATTAGCAACCCCCGCAAACAACGCCTAACCTTTTTAATTTTTCTCGTTCTTCCCCTTGTGCCCCAATGGAGCAGTATGGCTGTGCCGAGCGTGATCCCTGTGGCTTCCCCGCCAACTCCCGCTTCTCTCCCCGCTCATCCACACCGCCTTTCCCCTGCGCCATAGGAGAATTAAAACAAAAACAAAAAAAACCCGCACCATTATCTATCTGCTGTTGCAGCGCTGTTGGCTTTGTTATCCACATATCCTGCCATTTTAAACCGTGTTCTGTTTTTGTTTTGTTTGTTTTCTTTCTTTTTTTTTCTTTTCTTTGGTGTGGTGGTTCTTTTGCGTGTGTGTTTCAAAATATTTGGAGAACGATGGAGCCAAGGGACTCAAAAGCCACCTCCCCGGGGGGGTGGGACGGATAGTGGAGATGAAAGTAGACAGGCGAGCAAGTGGGAAGATGGGCGCTGTACGATAAAACGGACGATGTAGAGCTGGGTCTTTGCAAAAAAATAGCTTCCTGGTGGGCATTGAAAGTCGGCCACTCCAGCACAAATACTGGGTGGGTTTCCTTTGAGATACCCCTGCCTTTGCAGGTGGTTTCCAAAAAATCAAACACCAGGAATCTTGAGCAGTCCATATTGAGGATCTGTTCCGGAGATTTTGCGACCACCAAGGGACACTGACATGCACTGGAATGTTGGAGAAAAAATTGGGTAGGGAGACAGAGAAAGTGTTTGAAGATCCGAAAACGCTGGGCTATGCAGCATGGGAATCGGGTCCCTCTGGCTTTGAGTCTCGCGAGGAGCTCCCTGTCTGCGTTCCGTCTTCCACACTGCAAACGACACTAAAAACAAAAGAGTTGTAAATAAAATTTAAAAACAACCTGTGGAATTTTGCTTTCGAACTGCGGGGAACAAGAAGGAGGTTCTTCAAGCAAGCCGGGTGGGGTGATTGCGGGGGTATATGGGGGAATTTACGTCGGAAGGCGTTGGACGGGAACTGTGTAAAAATAATTTTAAAAAATAAATAACCTTATCCTCTTTCCTACCGGGGTCCGGATGCTCCTTTGGGGGCTCTTTTCCGAGTAGACCGCGGTTTGCATCTTCCCACCGAGAATTCTTGCGCTCGTGATTGTTTTATATATATAAATATATCTATTAAAAGTTGCATGGTTTCTAATAAAATAGCTTTTCAAACTGTTAATGATTCTTTATTATTTATTTTTAGAAGCACCCGAACAGTCTGCTAATTAAACAAAAAACGCAACGTCCCAGGAGAGAAAAATGGATGAGTAATAGAAATTTGATGCGATTTTGTCTCAAAGGAAAGGAACGGTTTAATCCTTGACTTATGACTGCTAAAGAGCCCAGAATTTACATGGCCGAGTGATATACAATTAACTGAATTTCGGTTGTTAAATTAACAACCCGGTCGCTAAATGAATCGGGCTTCCCTATTGATTTTGCTTGTTCAAAGGGGATCGCAGGACCCCGGGATGTTGTGACCACCATAAAGAGGAACCGGTTGCCAACATGCGTCATGGGACCATGGGGATGCTGCAACGGTCATAAGTGTGAAAATGGGCATAAGTTGCTTTTTTCCAGGCCGTTGTAACTTTGAACGGTCACTAAACGAACTGTTGTAAGTCAAGGACTTACCTGTCCTTTATTTCCCATTGAAGCCCTCCCATCTCCCTTCCCCTTTTTGTGTTGCCTCCCTCCCCAAAAGCTGGGCTGTTTGAAGCCCGCTCCCCCTCCTTACCTATCTCACTTCCAAGTCAGGATGGACTTCAACCAGGGGTGGGATTCTACCTGGGTCGCGCCGGTTCTATAAAACTGGTTGTTAGGATTCTGCACAGTTCAGAGAACCGGCAAATCATGCCACTGGCTGGCCCCTCCCCGCCTACTCACCCCTTACCTGGCATGCGCGCCATCCAACTTGCCTGTGTTGTGCCTTCACCTAATTTTTGGTAAATTGCTATCAGCTGTGCCGGGAGATTTAGATTAGCTAGAAAGCAGGAAATTGTTGGATTTCTTGCTTTCTAGCTAATCTAAAAGCAGAGCCGAACCTTCCTGAGGACTGAAGCTTCTGTTTTTCAGTGCAGACTCAGGTAGCCGATGGCAGAAAGGTAGATCTCTGAGTGAATCTGTGATTCTGCGAGCAACTCAATCTGCCTGCCTGCTTTGCCCGGTTCTGGGTAAAAGTTGCTTTTTTTAAAATAAAAAATTCAATATTTATATAAATATGTATAATATTTACATACAAGCCACGCCCAGCCAGCAAGCCATGACCAGCAAGCCACACCTACATATTAGGCCACGCCCACAGAACCAGTTGTTAAGACATGAATCCCACCCCTGATTTCAACACACACACCCCCTTTGTGCGTGTCCTGACTTTTGTTGTGTGGTTTTGAGAAGGGAGGGGACAATATCATAACTCGCCCTCTACAAACCAGGTATCTGGTGGGTTGGGGTGGAAGTCAGAATAGAGCTGAAAGGGACCTTGGAGGTCTTCTTGTCCACCCCTCCTCCTCAAGTGGGTGACCCTATACCAGGGGTGTCAAAGTCAATTTCACTGAAGGCCACATCAGGGCTGTGATTGGCCAGGCGTGTGTGTGTGTGTGTGTGGCCAATAGGGTGGCTCCCCCCCCCCTTTATCAGAAGGTCACAAAAGGGACAATGTTAGGTTCAAATTGCGGTCGTAACTTCAATTAACCTGATATCAATTGGAGAACTAATTCTGCACCAAGTGAGAAATCAAATAAGTTCCTAACCAACCTAGCTGACAACCAAAAGGTAGAGGGTGAAACTAGAGGGACAGCCATACTGGACTTAATTCTTACAAACAGAGAAGAAGTGATAGAGGGAGTTGAAACTGCAGGAACCTTGGGTGAGAGTGACCATGTCATACTAGAATTCAACATAATACAAACACAAGCAACAGAACATAATGACACCAGAGCCTTGGATTTTAAAAGAGCCGATTTCAATAAACTCGGAGAGAACTTGGGAAAGATTCCATGGATGAAAATCCTAAAGGGGAAAACAACTCAAGAATCTTGGGAAACTCTAAAAAGTATGATCATAGAAGCCCAGAGCAGCACAATACCACTGAGAAAGAAAAACAAGAAATCCAAGAAGAAATCAGCATGGCTGCACAAAGATCTCTGGCAAATTGAAAGAAAAAAAGGACAAGTACAAAAAATGGAAAGAAGGACGTACAACTAAGGCAGAATATCAGCAGATAGCCAGAATCTGCAAAGACGAAGTCAGGATAGCAAAGGCTCAGAACGAACAAAGACTTGCAACAAAAGTCAAAGATAATAAAAAAAAGTTTCTTCCAACATATAAATAACAAGAAAAAAATCAAGGAAACAGTCTAAAGAGAGAAGATGGCAAGGAAGTAACAGGCAACAGAGAGAAAGCAGAACTGCTTAACTCATTCTTTGGATCCGTCTTCACGCAAAAAGAAACTCAACCCCCCAAAAACATAACTGTGAAAGACAGACCAGAAATAAAAGTTAAAATAAGCAAAAAAAAAAAAAAAAAATAGTAAGAGAACACCTGTCTGATCTTGATGAAAACAAATCACAGGGCCTGATGGATTTCATCCCAGAGTTTTAAAGGAGCTGGCAGAGGTCATCTCAGAACCACTGCACCATATCTTTCAAAAATCCTGGAGCACCAGGGAACTACCAGAGGACTGGAAAAGAGCTGATGTGGTTCCCATCTTCAAAAAAGGGGGAAAAAACAGACCCAGGAAACTATAGACCAATCAGCCTAACATCAATACCTGGGAAGATACTGGAAAAGATAATAAAAAAACAGATCTGCCAACATCTAGAAACAAGTAAACTAGCAGTCAGCACGGGTTGTTAAGAGCAGATCATGCCAAACCAATCTAATTTCATTCTTCAACACAGTGACTAAATTAGTAGACCAGCAAAATACTGTGGACATAATATATTTAGATTTCAGCAAGGCATTCGATAAAGTAGACCACAACCTACTTCTTAGTAAGCCAGAAAAAAAGTGGAATAGATAGCACCACCACTAGATGGACTCGCAACTGGCTGGCAAACCATACTCAAGGAGTAGTCCTTAATGTGGGTCTAAGTCTACCTGGAGGGAAAGTAAGCAGTGGGGTGCCACAAGGTTTCCTCTTAGGCCCGTCTTCAATATCTTCATTAACGACTTAGATGAGGGAATAGAAGGGGAACTTACCAAATTTGCAGATCATGCTAAGCTGGCAGGAATAGCTAACACCCAAGAAGATAGGCTCAAGATCCAGATGGATCTCGACAAGACTAGAACACGGGGCCGTATCTAACAAAATAGAATTCAATATAGAGAAGAGTAAAGTCCTACACTTAGGCAAGAAAAACCCAAAGGACACATATAGACTGGGCAGTGGTGGAATTCAATTTTTTTTACTACTGGTTCTATGGGCGTGGCTTGTTTGGTGGGCATGGCTTGTGGTCATGTGACTGGGTGGGTGTGGCTTGGTGGTCATGTGACTGGGTGGGCATGGCCAACTCAATGTCACTCACATCAAGGGATGCCTCACCTGACCCCTCCCCTCCCAGCCATTCCTTGTCACCCAGCCTCAACTTATCTATAGTTCTGTAAAAATGTTGTTCACCTTTTTTGACTTTATTATCTGCATACTATAGATGTACTTTCATGGACCACTGAAAGGAGGAAATGGCTCGCATGCTTTACTCAAGAGTGTGATAGGCAACAGGCTTTTAAGGGGCTGCCACAAAGAAAGGGGGACAATGTATTTTCCAAAGAAGCAGAATGCAAACAAGAAGCAATGGATGGAAACTGAACAGAGAGAAGCAACCTAAAACTAAGGAGAAACTTCCTGACAGTGAGAACAATTAACCAGTGGAACTGCCTGTCTCCAGAAGTTCTGGGTGCTCCAACACTGGAATTTTTTAAGCAAAGACTGGACAGCCATTTCTCTGAAGTGGTATAGGGTTCCCCCCAAGGTCCCTTCTAAGTATTATTCTGACAACTTTCCCAGGATTTCTACTCAGAGTTTGGCATCCTCAGTTTTCTTGCCTGAGCTGGGGGTTGGACTAGAAGACCTCCAAGGTCCCTTTCAACTCTTGTTAAACACATGTGCATTTTATGCTCTGGACTATTGACATTGAATGCATGTCAACCCTGAAAAATATGTGGTAGCCCTGGGCAAAAGAAAGGCAGAAAAATCACTCTAGGTGTAGGGACAGTGTAAAATATTAACACATGATAAATAATGGAACAATTAAAAATAATAGCACTGAGTTTTATCTCTCTATTCCTATTTTTTTTCTTTCTTTCTCTACCTTCCTCTTCCTTCCTTCCTTCCTTCCTTCCTTCCTTCCTTCCTTCCTTCCTTCCTTCCTTCCTTCCTCTCTCCTCTC